CATATATGTTTATGTATACATATTTTCAAACTTATACCCACGCGGCTTTTTACGCTTAGACGTTTTTTTTTTTTTTTGCCTTTTGTTACCTTGGCTGTCTTGTACATTTTTATTATTTTATCTCTGGAAGACCGTTCCACTATGGAAACATGAACACAGATAAAACAATTGAAATGTTTGATGTTTTTATGGTTAGATGGTCTTCCACATTTAGCAGAAGCATTATAAAGTAACGAATTTAGGAGAGCGTCTGTATATTGCAGCGCAGTCCATTCTATTGAACACTTACTTTCAGCATACCCGCTTGATATATTTGCGGCATGTTTGACACGTTTCAGTCTTGATAAAAAGAAGAAGAAAAACGGAAACGGAAACGATACTTCTTCACTTTCTGTAATTTTAATCGATCTTGTCGATCAGCTAGCTGTAATTAGATTCGATGGGGCTTCTATTGCATTTAAATATAGGCGAGAGAATATGACATTACATGATATGACAGCTTAATAATGGCTGAACTAAACAAACATTCATTCCAGCAGCTTTGAAAGTGATCTATTACTCTTTTATTTCTAATTCTTACCAGTAAGCTTTACCATATGCAAATGTAGACATAAAAGGCTACGATTGAATACAGCACCGAAATGAAGTAGTGACTTTGATTCTCATAATATAGTAGCGAATTTTTTCTATATCTGTTAACAGGTCGTAACATATATTATATTATATTATGAATTCATTATATAAAGCGCTAACGTAACGTAACATAACATAAAAACAGTTAAATTCAATTTGTCGCGACTAGTGAATAATAAAAGTTATTTCATAAAAAAAATGTCGCACATGTTATGGCTAAGTCGTTCTAGATTTCAATGAGGACATAGACCTAATTGGTTGATCATCATTTTCGTTATCCACTAAATTGTTTTACCACTTTGGTATGTGTGTATATATGTTTCTCTTAATGAGCGTAGCATTTTCAATGGATGCAATAATCACCCACCTGTCTCCTCCCCCTCGCCACCCTCACCTGTTGTCTATCTGTTGTTAGAAAGAAGTTATGGTAGCGAAAGTTTATCGCCGTTAATCAAGTTAGCAAAAGGGGCGTAATCCCTATTGACAATCTATTGCAGATATTAATCTAATTTAATTAATGACAAAAATAAAAAAATTAATTGCTATACAAATTTCCTGAAGCTATCTTAAAAGTGAGTATAAAAAAAAAATATATATATATACTCGATTGGTCAATTGGTGTAAACGCTGATAGTTAGCAAAATATTTTGCAAATTTTATACATTGGCTAGAGGCAGTGAATATTTTCAAGATTTGCTCTGAGGCGCGTATAAATTTATTAATTATATGTTTTATTATTATGCTTTTTATATTTCACATTTTGTTTTGGTTGCATTATTTAATATTTTTATTATAATGCAGTCTTTATATATTCGTAGGTATTTGAATGACAAATAATATATGTTTAATAAATTTTATAAATTAATTCCTTTTAAACGTTTTTGGATATCTTAGGTTAGCAGATAATCGAACAAAGAAACAAGAAATAAAATAAATAAGAGAAAAAAACTTCGTCCTTCTGGATTGTAGTAAAAAAAGAAGCGTTGGGGAATTGTTCATGAACGCTATAAAAATGTCTTCTTTTCCAGAAATTCAGCCAAGAAAAAAGCAAAAAGAAGATTATAATCGGCTATGATCGAATCTTTCATACCTGTTATCACCGCTATTCTGAAAAAAAATCAGAAAAAAAGCAGCAAAGTACTAAATTTCCCCATACTCTGTAGCGTTGAGTGGGCGTGGGTTATTTTTTTCCTTTTTTATAATGTAAAGGCGAAAATTTATATCGTTTATCTGAAAAGTAAAAGTGTTCTCAGTGTTTGTTGTCTTATACGCGTTTCTTTTGACCGGCTTATGTGATTTTCAAATTCTTCTTCAAACTTGTAAGCGGCACAATATTCACCACAATCGGGTAGGCAGACATATGGACACGCTTAGGTGCATTCCGATTTTACCACTGGTAATGAATTTATTGCGGGAGTTTTGAAGCTTGCTTTCGGGCGCTATAAGGGTACCGATAAAAAATAAAAATGTTTGTATATATAATAATATTGGATAGGCGCGGCGACCATTTTCCATTTTTGCACAGATACGGTAGCATTGTCCCGAGACTAAACGTTTATATTTTTGTAGGTTTATCTGTAATTGTAGTTTGTGAGAAACGAGCGAAAAACCAGCTTTGCTTTTCTCTCCACGAAAAACAAACGTGCTCCCAGCATACGTTCTACTGTAAGCGTATCCTTCGACTGATTTGGCCCATTTTCAATGCCAATATGAGTGCAAGTACTCCCAATGTTTCACTTAATTTTGAAGGGAATAACTTCATTTTTACGGTCAGGAGAATGCTTACAACAGACGGACAGATGGACAGATGGACAAATGGACGTGCTTTATTCGAGTCAGAATTTGATGATGATCAAAAATACGCAAACGTTCCAACAAAATGAATATACCCCTGTCCGTCTGTCCATCTGTCGGGTTATTCGTGTGTGCGTCTGTGGAAATATTCGCCTCCACATTGGGCAGAAACATTGAAACTTCTTGCACTCAGCTGGATATTGAAAATGGTCCAAATAGGTCAAAGGACGCGTCTGCAGTACTGCACAAAACGAGAACACCTCTGTTTTTCAGACATAAACGTACAATAGGTTTTTCGATCATTATTCGTAAACTAAAGCAATACCTGCGCAAAAAAGGGGATTTTTTGCTATCTTTACTACGCACGGAAACAAGCTTCAAAAATCCTATAAAGTATATGAATCCTGGGCCAGTTTCAAATTTAGAATTCAACTAAGCATAACAGTCTGTTCGTTTGTCCATCTGTCCGTCTGAGCGATTGTGTAGTATCTGTGGTATATATGCTCCCCTTAGCAAAAATGAGGATATCGATTAGAAGTTTGCAAACGGATTTGGAAGCGTCCTAAAATTTTCAATGGACACGATGGTCTATAACGCCATCACGCCTATGCGACTAAACCTTTGGTTTTGAAACTAGACCAAATCGGCCACATAGAGCACGGAAGTTTAGTTTTTTAACTGGTTTTGTTTTTTTTTTTGAAGAAAGTGGTGATGGATGTAAATGACTCGGTCGCGACCGCATATAATTTTCCTACTTGCTCTTTTAATCGAATTTTATCCCTTGCCAAATAGAATACATTTTTGATTAATTATTTTTGTAATTCAAATATATTTCTCAAGTTTAACAAGGTTTTGCTTTTTATTTTCCGGCCTGAGTCAACTTTTAAAAATTGTTTTTGGTTTTTAAGGGGACTAAGTAGGTTGCGATATGTAATTCAATAATAGCATTGAAATTTTTAATTCGAATTTTCAGTTAGAAAATATTAGTTCAATTCATTTGGTTTTCATTTCGTCTGTGTAAATTTTTGAGAAAGCTTTGGATTGTAAAAAGAAAAAAGGGCAAAAAAAAAAAAAAAAAACAATGAAAACGTTCGATTTGTCGCCTGCTGAAAATAAAGCTAATATTATATACCAAAGATTGCAAAGCTCTGTTCAAGATATTGAAAGAAAAGATTCGGAAAATTTGCAATTTTTAGAAGCGTGGAAAGCAAATGCCAGCTCGGAGTTCCTGGCATTTGAAAAATCTAACGAAACCCTTCAAAAGCGGTACGCTGAAGATTTGAAATTTTTGGATCAAATAAAATTGGAGCATGGATTCTCCGACCAAAGTATTGAAAGACGCGGTATCTTGAAACCGGAACTTATCTCTGGCCGTGACGAATACGCAGAAGAACAACATGCCCAAAATCAAAAATCTCAATCAAAGCGTCTAACGTCTAAAAAGCGAGTATCTATCGCACCGGAAACTGAGGAGCAGTTAGATCATAAACTCGCGAAAGAATTGGAAAAAATCGCTAGTATCGATGTCACGACATTGAAAGATCGTGAGCAACTTTTGAAAAATGTGAAGGCATTAGAGTTCCAGCATACGCAAAATATTGATAAACTCGAAGTTAATATCCTTAAGGCAATGAATCAACGCAGAAACAACAAAGAGCGAAACATGAAAAAGATCGAAGAGTTAACAAGCAACTTGGATAAGGTGTATAATCGAACACTAGTGGCACTTACCAATGTTGACATTTTCAGGGGACTTAAATCGCCAAAGCTTACTTTTCGTTAATCGGTTTTACTTTAAAAACATATCCAGTCATTTTTATATATTTATCTATATTTATATACATTTGTTGATATACTTAGGCTATTAGAGGGGATAATTCGGAAAAGGAGAAAACTGAGAAATCAACGACATCAGCAGCAAGAACAGACTATAGAAGCAGCAGAAGTGAAAGATCGGAAAGGTTAAGTCACGATTGTTTCAGCCTATAATCTTTTCTTTCTGGTGATGTCGTTGCTTCGATTTTTATCTCCTTTTCCTAAATTATATCTATACACTTTATTAAAGCCGCTTGAAATGTAAACATTTAATGCGACTGCTTTCCGAAATAAAGTTGATTTTTGTATAACTTTTGCTTTTTCCTTTGTTTAATAATTCTGAGCTAATGCCATGCATCTCGTATGTAGATGCGAGGAAAGTCACTGCTTTGACAGATCGATTATGTGCATATATAGCTTCACCTATATTAGAAATGATGAACTGAATTGAAAAAAAAACTATTTTGTCAAAACGAATTGTTCCATTGTATTTCACATAGCTCAGTCTCGGTCTTTTGTTCGGCAATCCGAAAAAAACTCTGAATTATTCTTGTAGGCTGAATGATATTATCGAAGATGAAGTAATGAACTATTAATTATTTCGATTTAAATTCGTGCTTCTCTTCAGCTCGGTAGTTAATCGAGGAAACACTTTATATATATATAGTTGATCGCTGTAATATAATACAAAGTATACTTTTGCTGTATAATTTTATGATAGAAAGTAAATGAATTTTTCTTATCTTTTTAAATGACAGCTTCTCAGCTCTCTGGCTACCGACTTGGATATGATGCTTAACGATTTAAGATCATCGCCGAGTTCAAGATTGGGAGCCACATCTACTGCCTCCCAACACCATCATCTTCATCATCATCAACCTCATCATCATTCACAATCTACCGCTACTTATACACCCCTATCACTCGGTATTGGCACAAGCAGTAACATTGCTGGCATTAATAGAAACAGTCAGACAACACAACCAAATTATTCAAATTACTCGCAAAGTTCATCAACGCTTTGCGATTATCGAAGTTACCAGCAACAGTGTGAGTACACTTACCATAGCAGGCAAGACATAGCAGAGAAGAAGCAGCAGCAACAGCAACATCAAAATCAATATATTGTAGACCAACAACAGCAAAAACAACAACAACAACAAAATGAACAACAGCAATTAAATCGTAGTGTAGAGCAAGTGCAACAAAATCATTATGAATTACAATTCAATCAGAAAATCTGCACTGATGCGAATCAGAGCAATGATACGAACAACAACAATAACAATGGCAGTAATGGCAATTGCGAACTGAATAGAATTAACAACGGAAATGTTATAACCACCGGACGTCTAGGCATACAACATACGCAACCTATAAATGCATTAGAAAGTAATATAAATATATCAAGGAGCAGTTGTTGCAGTTCACCATCGAAATCATTATCAACATTAACGTCATCGTCATCGTCATCATCATCGTCATTCCAAACATTCTCCACTGATGTTACACGAATTTCCAGACTGCCATTATATACATATCAACGCAAGCAATTGCAACAACCGCAAACGCTGCACATAAAATTGCTGCCACAACAACAGGCCTTAAAGGCATTAACATCACAAATAACTGCCAAAGAGAATGTGGTCAAGCATACTCCCAGTGTCTGTGCAGCGACCACCACTAACATCTGTAACAATATTTCTAGCACATCGTTTCAAACCATCACAACTACAACAATAACAACAGCACTTGCAAATCCTTCATTCATCTCATCGTCATCGTCAACAGATTTTAGAATCAAATCAATTTCAGCATCAACATCATCGTCATCGTTAGTATCATTATCATCGCCACCTAGTAAAAGCTCCAATCGTTTGTATAAATTCCGCAACTCCGACACCAGCAACGCCAGTAGTTGGTTACCATCATCGTCAAATTTTCTCAGGTGAGTGAATGCCTTCATTACTGTAAAACATATATATATATATATATATATATATAGTATTTTATTAAGTTTCATATACCTGCGGGCAATTTAAAATGTATCGATTATCAACCAGCCCGCCAACCGCTGAACACACTCACGACGACAATCAATCATTAGGCATATGCTGCATTGTCAGATAAGTGCGTATTATGCATGCAACAAATAGATACATAGATGATAATGATGATGAAACCAGTAATTGGGTTAATTATATGAAAATCTTCTTTTCTTAACACCACTTTATGATATAAAATTGATGATGCTCTTCACACTTTTTCTTTAGAATTTATGTTATTATTTAGACGCGTCAAACATGTAATCGGTCGTGAAAATCCGATACGTTTCATCACATTCATTTCATTCATTTCATTTATGTCTCTAAATGTTAGCAGATTTCGACGAACGCGAAATTCGCTAGAAAGTCGCATAATATTAAAAATTCGCAAAATTGATTTATCCTTTCACTCATTGCCCGCATGAGTAATCGATTAGATAAGAATAGCGTTCACAAAGTTGGTGTTGATAAGTTCGAAACTCAGTGCATGAGACCATTTTCGGGCTCGTAACTACAGTGTCAGAAAAAGGCACAACACTTGCCCATCAACCACTCGACTCAAAAACTAAGCTGCGACCACTTCCCTCCCTTTCTCCTTCCCTACATCTTTTTTTTGACCGTCACGGTCGTACAGATGCATAAGAGACATCTCCTTAGTGATGTGGTATATGAAAAAAAAAAAAAAATATATATATATATATATCTATATATATATATATAAATATTTTTGTATATATATTATATAAACGATATATATATATTTACTCAATACACAAGCAATGTACTACAATGTAGAACGAGATTAATGCTCGGTCAGTTTATAGAGTTTTTCATGAAAGGCTTGCCATAGTCCATTTCTATGTACGTTTGATTACTATCACGTCTGCCAGGGGGATATGCTTGTCGCCTAACTGAAACGACAAAACGAAAATCATTCATTTATTTATAGTGGGCACAGTCTGATTTTGCGCCACATTTTTTACTAACGAACTAAATGAGTTAATCCTACGTTTAGGATGACTTTGCTTCTTACTTCTTCGTATTTGAAACGTGGCGCGATAAAATGCTCCTTTTAATAAAACATTAAAAGTAGTATTTACACCCTGCACCATAAATGGTGAGAATGCGGACATACGTAACACCCAGAGGCGATTAAGGTGGATCCACATTTTATTATACCGATCGATTTAACGTCATTTGTTCAGTGTATCTGTTCGTCTGAGGTGTGTCCATGTGTTCTTTTGCTCAACCTACATGTTCCAATTTTCACGATATTTTGATGAAATTTACTACACTGACGTGTTTTCATCCCAGGACGCAAAGAACGCTGTTAAAAATAGTTTGGATTCGTCCCCTTTTGCGACCAACCCCCATATAAGGGTTCATTTTGAAACGTCGTTATATGGAAGAAATATTTCAATTTTTCAAAACTTTTTTGACAAAAGTAATCGCAGTTTGATATTTTAAATTGGTGTGAAAACTTTAGACCGTCTGGCGTAATTTTCTGAACTCGTTATTAAGAAAACTGAATTTTTATATGGTGAAAAAATGAAATCCTTAAAATTTTATGGTGAGAATTAATTTATAACAGAAATCAAGTTTAATGAATTTAGACCATATTGGTAAAGTTTTTGGTTACCACCGCATTTAGGGATACCCAGGAAATGTAAACCTTTATATGCTGAAAGCGCCTAAGTGTCAATATTTTATGATGAAAATTGGTTTTTGACAGTAACTTGACATAAAAATGAAGTAGATCAAACTTGAACCACATGGGTCTATTTCTTCGACTCCATTCCATTTAAAATTTCTCATGAAAAGTAACCTTTTCAGAAAAGCATTCATTTCATTTTTATTCTTTTATAATGAAAATTGATCCATATTAGCACAAAAATAAACGGAAAGCAATTTGGATTATGTAGGTCTATTTTTGAGACCCTAATATATAGAGGGGTTGTTATAGGAGGAGAAAGTGTATTTTCTAGTTTTTTATGAGCGAATTTGAAAAATTATAAAATTTTTGGGAAGAAAATTAATTTTTCTAAATTTGGCTCACGTCATGTGACGTTTTGGGCATCCTTCAATATGCGGACCTTCATGAAAAGTGTATCTTTGCATGAAGATGATGAGCAATTTTTTGGTGCAGGGTATCTAAAGGTCGGCCTTGCCCAACTATGATGTATATGCTTGTTTTTTTTTTTTTTTTTTTGGGTTTGCAGCAAGTTTCGCTGGTGGCTATAAATGATTATCTTACTTTTCACAGAGACAAATTTCTCTGGTGACAAGAAGTGAATGGCTCCTCTTTTTGTGTTAGGCTGATGGTCGCTTTTACGAGGACTAAGAATTATTTTTTGAAAATTTGCGAATTCGTTCAAAGGAAATTTTAACAATGTTTTTGAATTATAAGAAGAAATATTTTATCTTATTATTTACAAAATATCGAATATCAAGCGTGTTGGTCTCCCCGTTCATTAATTCACAGTTCCATGTTATTCAACAATCATAGTATAAAAGGATTAACCATAATACTATTAGCTTTAATTACAATAATTTGTATGGAGGTCGTATAAATTTCTTCATAGTATATAAGCAGATATAGTACAATAAAGTGCTAAGTAAATTAAGGGGACTTGTTTAAGCAGTAATTTGGTAACAAAGCCAATCACTAAACGCGTATAGAAAACATAAATGAAATGAACCCTAAAAGAAACACAATTTGCTTAATGAGCATACATAATACGGACGTATCTATGATAATTTAACACAAGGCACGCGCATATTTAATGTTATGTGTGAATAACACAATTAGACAATAGATTAAAAGCTCATTTTAAGAGAATCCTTAACAATACGAATACATGAGGTTTATCATAATTTATTTTATCTGTTGTAACGTTTTGCGTCCAAAAAATGATCCAAAGTAACACTTTAATCAAATCGCTGCTGGAGGAGAAATATTAAGTTAAACTGACTTGATTGGCTGATTGGCGTAAGAAAACACAAAAAACTAATGAAAATATTCAACATTAGCCATTTAGGCGAACGGGAATCAACTCTTTATCCAACCATATTATAGACGATATTAGATTAGAGCAAGGAGTACAATAGAAGTAATCTATTGAGATGAAATGCATTGAAATTTTGGAAATCTTTCTGTAGAAGAAGGCAGAGAAAAACTTGAAATTAAAATGAAATTCTTTTTAGTACAAATGTATGCATCATGATCGTATAGCTCCAAAGGTTTCCATATAATACTTAATGCCTATAATTCGCTTGAAGGCATTAAATTTAATTTCGTTAGGTTAATAGGATCATAAAAAGCAAAAGAGAAGTATTAACCTTTCAGTAATCTGTGCCCAGAATGACTGACTACATTTTAAAGCTAATCTTTAGTTCACTGCGAGAGACATTAATCACAAAGCAATTTAAATGGAAACTGTGACTCACAATGTAATTCAATAAATGGCTGGTTACAAGTTAAAGCACATTGTGAACTCTTGCCACCTGCAGAATCTTAAGTGTTGACATGTTATCAACGCTTTTCGGGTTCGGCTAGCGTCTGTCTTCTTTCTCTTCGCGTCTTTTGCGCTTTCTTTTGGAAATCATGCGAATGGCATTCTTATATCGGCTTGCCATGCATTTTACCAATTTTCTCCATGCTCGAATTGCGTTAAACATATGATATTTTATTTTAATAGCGTAGCGTTTAGCCTCTTTTTCAGTCGCTTTAATTTCGCTGTGCCCGTCTTGGCCCCCTAAAGGCTACGTTCAATAATTAGAGCTGAATATTAATAATCCTTTACGGTATTACGATGTATTTGCTCAGCATAAGAAAGCCGAGACTTTTGTAAAACGTTTTACAAGCTTTGTGTATCTTCAATTATATATGAAAGAGGTATGAAGGCAGGTACAGGGAGGTTAACCTCACTCGACAATAATCTTATCGTTTTCAATGGTTAACCTTTGAATTGATTATTCGGCGCTATTGTTAATCACTTTTCACTTCTCCCAACTTGCAAAGTCAAAGCAATGCAAGCAACTTTCATCGAAAAGTATGATTTAAACTTCAATGTCAACCGGTTTGGCGACTCGGCTTCTTCACCTTTCAAAGATTGTTTTACCAATAACATGACAGTCTTCATCTTTCTCTCTTTTTCCGGGTTCAATAATTGGGGGGTTAACGGATAGTCTATAAAATTAGAAGTGTCACTATTCAGTTAAACATTCTTGGATTCAATCTCCAGTTCCATAGCCCGTTGCTAGACCGTTCGGTCGGTTTACTTTTCTCCTTATTGAACTAGTACGCACAACGAAACGCCGCAACACTGATCAATAAGAAATTTCATATTCGATATCAAGCAAAATTGATATACTATCGGACGCCATCAACTCACTACTTGTTAAAAGTTGCTCGATAACGCGATTCTTTTACCAAAATAATGAAAATTTGATGGTTCGAACTAGTTCGATAACAACAATCGCGGTTGTAGCTATAGTAAGGATTGTCTATCTGGGCTTTTTTTTGCGCGAAATTTTCAAGCGATCTGATAAGTTCTCCCTTAATTGTTATGCATGATTCATAAAAACATTTAGAATTAGCTTTTTAGATCTTGAGTTTGTTACCGCCTCCCCTCGGTAGTCTCTAACTAAATAATACTTTTGTTTGTGAGAGTCCTAAATTATAATAAGGACAGACTAACCGACATGCGCGAGTCAAATAGATTTAGAATGTAGCGCTGGTGAAGGTTCTATAGTTTCTCTACCAGATGTTTCTCTGTTTTGTAAATGAAAGAAAAAAGTTGTTTACCAAATGCAACGAGATCGTCTGCATTAAGATTCATGGTTATACGCTTGTGCTCTATTTTCTTTTGCTCTGGTATCGGAGATCCCGGAGATCAATCAC